TGGAATGAGCACCTAGCTTCACCTAGCTTCACTGACGGACTGACTGACAGACTATTATTTATTTTGTATTTGTTGACGTTTCAAAAGTACCAAACTATGGTTTAATTGAAATAAATGCTTTGACTTTGACTTTGACTTTGACTATTATGTTTTTCTAGTGGTAGCTGGTACTAGTCGAGTTCCTCGTCAAATAATTACGTGAGTAAGCCATACATACCTACCTAACAATGAATTGTATGGTGTTTACTATTTTAAGTATAGACTTTTGAAAGATAACAAAAATGATTACTTTATCTTCCTATTTCTATATTCTAAGTGTAAAATGAGAGTTGAAAACAATTTTGTAATGGTATTATTGCATAAAATTAGTATTTTTATAATTAACTAGCTTTTGACCGCGGCTTCGCTCGCGTCACAAAAGGATAAAAAGTAGCCTATGTGACATATACAATACACACAGCGCCATCTTCGTTTTTCCTCGAGAATATCATTTTTTTCCGGGATAAAAAGTACCCTATTATTTAATCCAGACTTCTAACTTTACGTTAAAATTTCAAAGCAATCGGTTTAGTAGTTACGGCGTGAAGCAGAACAAACAAACTCACTTTCCGATCTATAATATAAGTAAGGATTTACTCCACTGATATTTATAAATGTATGATTTACTCTGACAGATTTGTTAGTTTGCAAAGTGCATTTATATGTGTGTCAAGGTCAAAGTCAAAATCATTTATTTCAATTAGACCAGGAAGGCACATTTGAACGTCAACAAAAAATTTAAAAGTGAAGCTCATTCCTAGGAATACCTCTAGAGAAACTTTGATTTACATGAACGTTGTATTTCAATCAAAAAATTTAAAAATAACTGTATCAAAGTTAAAATAAACTTATTAAATTGTAACTTACAAAAGGACAAAAAGGAAATAATATTACCGATCAAAAAGAGTATTGTCAGAAGTGGGATTCGAACCCACGCCCTCAGAGAGGACCAGAACAGCTCGCACTCACGTTCAGTGAGCAAGGTACCCTTGAGTCTGGCGCCTTAGACCGCTCGGCCATCCTGACTGGTGACATCTGTGCTCAAATACTGGTGCACTATGAGTAAAGCAACGATAAACCACGTAATACCTACATACATATTTTTTATGTGATAAGCGGTTTTAATTTTAAACCATATATCCCCAAGCCGTCACCGGTGACAGCTCTCCCCTAACTATACAAGTGTAGTTTTGAAGCCGTGTCATTTCTCGGGGGCATGTCATAGAAGTCATAAAAGTTCAATGTAAGAGAAATTTTCGGGCCAATAGTTAAAACTACAACTATAATAAATCGTTTAAGTTGTACAGTACTTATTTCAGAAAAAGCGACAACAATTCTTCTTATTGGAGTTTTATGGAATTAGGAATAATATCAATTAAGTGTTTGAGTTTGTGTGTGTTAAGCCGCGTTATAAAGCTAGTTACAAGACGGCGGCGTGTAGTTCGCACTTACGGATTTCCGTAATTTACAGAAGAATGAAAAATATTTACCTACAATATTTTTTATTGATTCGGACTCAGAATCGATAGCCGAGTTACCTCCTAGAAAATGACGCGGCTTTAAAACTACACCTTGTATTATAGACCTTATTTCCAACGTATAGAGACTACTTTTGTATGAACAAATACTATCCATGTCATGTCCCTTTAACTATATCCATATTGTTGTTTATTGATTAACACGGTATACACCAATTACATTAATCAAATAAATATAGTGGAGGTAATTGTGTTTTTTGTGTAAAACATTGGATTATATTGTACTAGCGACCCGCCCCGGCTTCGCACGGGTACAATTAGAAACCTCTGAATTTATTAGTGTTTCTGTTATGCATGTATGTATATATTACGTCGCGTTCCGCGCGCGCCTCAAAGAGCCATCAGACCACCACAGATGGGGCCCAATAGGGCTGATGTCGATTCGGAGTCGCGGAGAACCTAACGGGTTACCGGGGCTCCGGCTCGACGTGCAGGAGAAGGAACGGGGTGGTTTTTAGTCGGTAATAGTCTGACACTCCCTCCCGCCTCACCCAGGCGGGAGCAGTCATTCGATGATTTTCCCCCCTTAAAAAAAAACTATTAACATAAACCGCACCAAAATCCGTTGAGCAGTTTTAAATATCTAAGCATACATAGGGACAGACAGACGGCGGAGAGCGACTTTGTTTTATACTATGTCATGGTCATCAAGATTAAGAGTGTGTACCAAATATCAGATCGTTCTGTCGTCATGAATGGGCTAAAATTCAAATTTTTAACCGACTTTTTTTTGGCATAAGCCGGTAAACGAGCAGACGGATCACCTGATGGTAAGCAATCGGCGTCGCCTATGGACACCTGGAATACCAGAGACGGTACAAGTGCGTTACCGGCTTTTTGGGGATTAGGAGTTTGAGGATCGTTGGGGATTCAGGGATTGGGGAGATTGGGGAAGGAATTGGGCCTCTGGTAACCTCATTCACACGCCGAAACACAACGCAAACGTTGCTTCACGTCGGTTTTCTGTGAGGCCGTGGTGTCACTCCGGTCGAGCCGGCCCATTCGTGCCGAAGCATGGCTCTCCCACACTTAAAAATGACGAATTTAATTTGACGTTCTTAATTTGACCAGTGTTTGTATCTTTGTGCGCGATTATCTCGTAATTGGCTAAACCAATTTGTATGCGGTCTGTGGAAAACTGTTTGTTACACTTTTTTTAGTTTATTAATTAACTGACTTCAAAAAGAGGGCTTTCAAGTCGGGTTTTTAACTAAATTAAACAAAACTATGTAACTAGAGAATTGTATTGTGAACCTGCTTGAAAAAGTGTAACCTATGGAGTTTCTTGCTCGTTCTTCTATATAGGAATATACATCTTGGAATGAACAAATAGCTTCACTTTTAATTTTTTATTGACGTTCCCACTGGTATAATCGAAATAAATGATTTTGACCTTGACTTTACATACCGAACAATTCGAAAATAACGATATACTCACGTGAAGTAGTCGCGGAGAACCTAACGGGTTGCCGGGGCTCCGGCTAGAAGTGCAGGAGTAGGAACGGGGTGGATTTTAGTCCGTAAGAGCCTGACACTCCTTCCCGTCTCACCCAGGAGGCGGAAGAAGAGATTTGATGATTTTCCCCCCTTAAAAAAAACTCACGTGAAATAATTGAGAAATACTCTACAAGTTTCAAGTGACAATGGGACCCTTATTCTTATGAGCAACGTGCGAAGGACGCAGCTATTTGTTTTTGTATTTCTATAACTTTTTAATTTTGTTACCTATCCTATAACAGAACACCTGTTCATGTTTTGAAAACAAAATATTAATATTTTTCTCGTAAAAATAAAAGAAAAAAATTTAGGAATTTCTCTCTGTACGCGTAACGTATAAAAAATTAATATTAACATTGTAAATGTGAATGTTTGTTTGTTTGTCCTCTTGTCTCATCAAAATACTATAACCGAGGGTCGATTTTTCAACCATCAGTTACTTCTTAACTGTAAAATAAAATTGATATTTGACAGTTATTTAGTATGGAAGAATTGTCAGATATTCAAAGTCATTACTCAGTTAAAATTTATCTGGCGTAGGAAAAATTGGCCGTCAGTGATATGACGTGTTGTACTTAAAATCCTTGACATAGAATTATTTTTTACACAATTTTAATTAGACTATTATGCTTTCGGCTTAACGCACACGTACTTATTTGACGGGGAACTCGACTAGTTTCAAGCCATGCTTGAGGCTCATATTCATGAGCAGCATTTCGCGACCTGCGACTCGGCGACTGTCGCGCTACTTGAGTCTGCGGGCCCAGCGCGCTCTCTGCCGTGATAGCACGTATTGCCATTGGACCTACGTCTGGCCTCTCTCCGGTCGTATCGGTCTGCCATCCAATCGGGTTCAGAGAGTGAGGGAACAGAGAATGCACCTGTGTTTAAAGTTAACTACGCAGGAGATATTATAATGCACAAAACACACTTTTGTGCATTATAATATCTCCTGCGTAGTGGGCTAGTCTAGTTAAACTGGCCATTGCATGATCGAAATCGACCGGCAGATTTGAGAGCCTATTAACATTCGAAATTAATAACATACCTTGTCATGTGAGCGAAAACACGAGCATTGCTAGTTTAATACCTTAATAAAAAGTGCCAAAGAATGCCTAAAAGAAAATATACACCGTAACGATTCGAATAATTTGTTATATTACGAATATTTTCTTTGTTGACACAAAATTTCGTTTTTTCACGAAAATACGACACGAAACGTTCTTTCGAATATTTTGAAAGACATATTTTGGCCATTTTCATTTGACTATGGTGTTTTTGGAGTCAGTAAGATACCTTCTTGTGAGTGATTGGAAAGGTACCATAGTGGAATGTGGAGCAATGAGGGAGACGTGTTGTTGTAAAGATAAAGATAAAGATAAAGATAAAGATAGAGATAGAGACAGAGACAGAGACAGAGACAGAGACAGAGACAGAGACAGAGACAGAGACAGAGACAGAGACAGAGACAGAGACAGAGACAGAGACAGAGACAGAGACAGAGACAGAGACAGAGACAGAGACAGAGACAGAGACAGAGACAGAGACAGAGACAGAGACAGAGACAGAGACAGAGACAGAGACAGAGACAGAGACAGAGACAGAGACAGAGACAGAGACAGAGACAGAGACAGAGACAGAGACAGAGACAAAGATAAAGATATTTTTTATTTGCGTTAACATGAGTAATATTACAAGAGTACATGCAATAGTGTAATAAATAACAATATTCGGCGGGTAGTTGAAGCGACGGTCACGAAAAACTGTCTCTCCAAATAAATAAAACAATTAAATTTGTATTTATTCGTTAAATTATAGTTTTAAACATAAGTACATATTAGAAGTCAGTACCTGCTGGTTTTGTGTTTGCACAGTTACTATCACAGGATTTTACCGCTTATTACACGAACAATAATAATTATAAACATGGAGTCGCTGAGAGGAACATTTGCTGAGATGTCTGCACAATTCCACGATAGGATGGCAAGGTTTGAGGCTGAACAACAAAATTCAGCATCACCGAGTCTGCCACCGGAGTATTTGGCTTTCAAGAAGTTCACCCTTGAGTCTCTTCGTTGTATCCAGCAGCAGATGGATTCATTTACCGACGAGTTGGATTCAGTTGAGATGAGGAGTCGAAGGAAGATCTTATTGATCCACGGAGTTCCAGAGAACACAAGTGAAGACACTGCATCTGTGGTTGCTAACGTCATCCATCAAAAGCTGAGTTTGCCCACCAACACTGCTTTAGACATACGTAGATGTCATCGAGTCGGCGGCCGTGCCCACAAATCAAAACCCAGACCCATACTGGTAAAGATGAAGGATGCTGATATCCGGGACAAAGTCTGGTATAGTAAAACCAAATTAAAGGGGTCGGGTATCACAGTGTCGGAATTCCTCACAAAGATTAGACACCAGGTCTTCGTGGCGGCACGGGATAAGTTTGGTGTGGCGAACTGCTGGACGAAAAGGGGTGACATCTACGTCCTGGGATCGGATGGCGTCAGGCACCGTATTGTCAGCCACAGCCAGCTTCGCGCACTCGGTGAGCCTGCGGCTGTTCCTGAGCGATCTGCAGCCGTGGTTCCAAAGAAGAAGACGCGTGGTGCTGCTAAAAAGTGATTCCTCCGGTGATCCTGCCTCGCTCGGGTAACAAATCCACATTTTATTTTCCTTTGTCTATTTATAAAAGTACAATCTTCTGTATTATATTATTTTAGTTCTACCCTAGCATAGAATCCTCTAATT